AAGCTTTCTAGTGATTCCAAACTCATTAAACCACTTTCGGTTCTAAAGAGGCTATCTGCATTTCGTCCTAGCTTGTCCAGATACTCCATACGCATCTTGAAATGAATGAAGAAAATAATAAAAGTTAGTTCTTCTATACACTATAAGACTTAAACTCACTGATGTTAAATGCCTAAAAATAAATAGAAGCATTTTATATAAACATAATTCATACCATTCCTCACATCAACCCAAAACACAAAAAAAAAAAAATCAAATATTGAACTCGAAATCAAAGGGGCAAAAATATCAAGGTCACCTGCACCAAAAACTGTCGTGATCTGCATCGATATAATATAATTGGTTCCATTAGAGAAACGTAACTTCTTCAGAAGCTGTACATTTTCTTCAAAATGCCCGCACAAACTTGGCTTCCCGCAATTGCATGACCCCATAATCCAAAGAGATCAATGACATATGTAATAATATACTGGATTTATAATTGCACATAGATTCAGCGGTGGATTAGTAAAAAAATAAATTTATTTTTTCAATTGGCAATGCGCAAAACAAATGATTGATAGGGGTGGCGAGGATACCCTAAAGTGACAGGGTTGTGATTTTTTTTTTGTTATAATAGTTCAAACCTCTGTGAAAATTAAAAGGGATATGAATTCAATACTTGATACCGATGATAGCTGAAAGAATAAACATTCCTCACAATAATGAGGTTCAATCTTGAGCGTCTATTTACTTAAAGATGTAAGAAAAGAAGAGTCAAGCCGTGGATCTTCTCGCATAATAGGATTCAAGGCAAAACTGCAGGCTGATCCATATCTCAATTGAATTCTACACAACATTAAGCGTTAAAAGGAAAAAAATTACAATGACAAAACTAGACTTCGATTCAAAGTGTCGACTCCTCAATAAAGTAGGTGAGATAATTGACATCAAAATTTAAATTGCTGTAGTATAACTACCAATTCTCATTAATTATGAATGTCCTATATGTGAGATTGCATTTTATATTTAATAAGAGGTGGATGAACGGATCACTAAGATCATCGTAACAAGTTTGGAGAGTTGTGAATTGTAATCTTTTGCATGCGCTTACTTGTAGCTTGCCTTCAAACCTTAATGTATATATATATATATATATATATCCCTTTA